GCCATCAATCTAACCCTATTTGCAGGTGGGTTAATTGGCAATTTGTTGCGTTTTTAGGTATTAGGTTATTGTAGCACTTATGCCAAAAGAATTTCCGCAAGCAGGGGCCGCGAGAAGACTATGAGCGAGTTGCTAAGAGATTCTATCGTAGTTTCGACGCTTCTGAAAATTTATTGCATGCGCTTCATCACTCGCAAGAAAACCCCTCCAAGAATATTCCGCCATAGAAGGCTTACCTGGCGGCCGTTAATCTTCATTACAGGCGTCCATCCTCCATCTCCGCATCCAAAATCCCCCATCTGACAGAGAACTGTGACTGGTTTAGAGTCAAGGTGTAATGTGACCAGTTGACTGGCGTTTGACCTGTTGATACGAAAAGAAACCCATTCGTGATCATATTAGTTTGCGGCGAAAAATCTCCTCTAGGCGTCGAAACTATTCCATAATTTGGTCTCTTTTTTATGCTCGAAAAGATAATCATTTGGTATCACTTACTTAAAAAGGTTGTAAGCTTCTCTGCAGGAACCAAGGACTAAATGTAACGAAAAAAACAAAAGTAAGGTATTTAGGATATTTAGTGTAGATATTTATATTTAGTGCAAAATCTTTGAGCAATAAGAGATGATAAACATTACTGTGGTACGAGGTATAATTTACCTCCGAGGAGGGGGGGGCTCAGAACATTTTGTTCGTGTCACGATCAAATTAACCTGATACCCTCCCTAAAATTATTATGATCCCCACCCATTGGCAGTTTTAAAATTGGCAGTCAATTTCTATTGTCCCCTCCTTTAAACTCTGTCGGCGACTACTATATCCCCCTCCTTTTCCCCTGAAAATCACATGATCCTCTCAAGTCCTCCTCCCTCCTTCCCCCGTAGTTAATAATAATTGGTCCCGGAGGGAAAGTAAGTAAAAATAAAAAATATATATTCAGTTCCTCATTGCATTAAATATTTGTTAGTTACATATTTTCGCCAGCTATTTTAGAAAATTTTCGAGCTCCAAGGTTAAATAGAAAAATTCATAGCAGTCACTTGAGAACTATAGTATTTCATGTTAGATGTATATCAGTCACAAAACCATGCCAAACTATTAACCTTTTTCACAATATTCTCCTTTGTAGCCTTTTGCACAGCGGCATCCGAATGAGCCATCTCTATAGTTAGTGACACAGGTAGCCTCATGTTGACAAGGTGACGAAGAGCAAGGTGACTGTAGAGAAACAAAGTAGGAAAATGGTTGATGCGCTATTCCGTCATTCCGGTTCGGATTCGTTTTAGTAGAAATTTTTCATGGTATGGACATACCTTATATTATAGCATCTAGGGTTTTTTTTTATTTTCGTCTACAGTATAGAGATTTTGGCTGAGTTTTCTGCCTTTGCTGGTATTTGAGAAAGTGGCTTTATGAGGTTAAAAATATATTGCTAAGCCGTTGGGATCCATGAGTCTGGAAGGCTTTTCTAATTGTTTTGAAAGTTGGCGGAAAATGAAGAAGTCTGTGGATAAAACATTTAAAACACAAACTGACTAAAGGCTGACCAAATACTAACGATTTAAACGAGTCCATTCTTTAAATAAAGATAATCTGGTATCTTGACTAAAATTTTCAACCGAGTCACATGTGTTTTCTTAGTATACTGACGTGCCTGGGAAACAAAGGTGGTAAGTAATTAAGATGGTGCGCGGCACGAGAAAGTGTTTGCATGCTTTACAACATGCCATAGAAATATGGTTGTCACCACAATGAATACGACAACAGACCGACACCATTTGCAGTAATTTTAACCTGACTACCTTCTCTCTACGATCTTGGCGAAGCTGTCAAACTTTTAACATGTTTATTAGTCAAAATCAAGAAATGCTTCCTACCTCAATGGCAAAATGATGCGAATATTTATTCCCTTTATACTCTGTGGAGTTTCTGAACTTATCAGATGACAACAATTCGCACCAAAGTTTTCTATGGGTTACTTTGAAGGCGGCCAGGTTTACAGAAAAACACAACGGATTGCTAAGACATTCTAATGTGCAGTCAAACACATCAGACACTGCCACTGTTCCAATAAGCGGCGCATTCAAGTGATGAAACTCGTGTTTAATGAATGTACGTGTCAGGAAGGTTCTTGTGGAGGAGACGCGGTTGCCCTCGCGATACACAGGGTTTGAGTCTGTAACAAGAAAGAACAGTCCAGTAATAAAAGGACATGATGGCAGCACTCACAGGAAGGAGTGGCGGGGAAGGGACTTACTGATTACAAGAGATGATGAAGCGGCCTATAACAGTACACCCCCCCCAATACCATTCAAAATAATGGATGTTTTTCATATCTACGTTACTCTTATGAACCTTCATTTGGTGAAATCCACTGTTTAGGGAGATGAAAAACCATTTTGCTATGGTCAGTAGTAAATCAGCTTCTCTAAATTGCAACGTTTGAGACACCGTAAAAATATAAAAAAAACTTTTCAAGAATGATTTTAAGGCCGTTCAGTATCAGCGTCCCTTCTTCTCATTCACCCCTCCCCCCCTTTCCCTTTGTAATTCCGGGGTGACCCCTGCGACGAAAACAAAATTTGTACTCGTGCCGTATGAGGATGTTGTAGAGTACAGCGAAGAGGTAACTGACAATGATGGAAAGCAAAAAGGTATTTATAAATCCAGGGATCTCTTGAAATATCAAGAGCTAATTTTAGACTGATCCGTGCGTTTTTCTCCCGCTTTGTTTTCGGGACAATGCTCAGTTATATTTCAAGTAAAATATGATCCATATTTTCCTTTCGAAATCAACGTTAGAAGTAGATCA